ACATTCCAAAGACATTCAACCTTTTTTTTTACGGTAACTATGATCATTCCCTTGTTTAAATCAACAAAGTATCCTTCGTAACAGAAATATAAGCAAAGGCCTGATTTAAAACTACTGATAGGGCACCTGAGCGGCTCAGGCGGCTAAAGGTCTGACTTCAGGTCAGGTCATGATCTCACAGTTCGTGGGTTCAAGCCCTGCATCAGGCTCTGGGATGACAGCTCAGAGCCTGGAGCCTGCTTTGGATTCTCTCTCTCTCTCTCTCTCTCTCTCTCTCTCTCTCTCTCTCTCTCCGCCCCCCCCCGCCCCCATACTTGCCCTCTGTCTCTTTGTCTCTCAAAAATAAACATTAAAAAAATGTAAAAAAACTATTGATGATTCTTCTTCACAACTACAGGTTTTATATTGTATATAATGGCATAAATACACACTATTAAATACGTGTATAAGGTGTACGTGTCAGAGGGAATATGGGAGGTGAGCTTTATACCCAATACAATGGAGGAGGTAAGCTATGGAGCTAGGGAGCTTTCACAACTGGAAATCATCAGGGTTGAGTAAATGAATGATATCTAATCTCCAAGAAAAAGAAAACTTCCCTAGCTTTGTGATCAAGACACACAGAGACTTAACATTAGCACACTGTGCACTTCAGGAATTTTTATTTAAAGATTTGCCAAGGCCTCTCCAGCTACCTGAATCTGAACATCTAAAACCATCAACCCGTATGTCTATGTTCTATGTCAAAGGCCTGTGTTACTTCCTGCAATATCTCTTAAACAAGGGGCACATGGGCTTTGGCTCTCCTTTTTGGCCAACCACCATCATTGATTCCGACACAACGTACTCTTATAAATTAGACTCAAAACTAATCAAAAGAAAAGCATTCCAGAGAAAGGCCCTTACACTCTCCTACAGGACCTCACCCCCACCCCACCCCACTAGCATGACAGCGTGACGAACACGTAGAACTTATTCATAATTCCCTGCATGACTCCCTGATTCCTCAGTCCCACTTACTCTACCGGGATGGCAGTGTTAACCTAAAAACTGAACCGCAAAGTTGAATTATCTCACAGCTTTATAAACCCGACAACAAAGTGACAAGACAAAATTTCTTTGTTCTCACTGGGGCCGGGTACATCATTTTGACTTTATAAAGATACTTTAAAGGAATTTTTAAAAATCACAATGTTATAAAACTTGGTAATTATTACTTCAAAACGACAGATTCTATTGTTCATGGAGAAATTTTCAGTTGGTTTTCTCACACCAGTGGTTCAACTGAAAGATTCACCAACTGCTCCCTGGAGAAAACAGAAGATCTGCATTTAAATGGAGATAGAGTATTTCCAAATGCACAGTACCTAGAAGGCAGATACTGTCAAGGTTTCTTAGCGAGAATAACTCAAATTGTATCAGGTACATCTCAATGCTGTGGTTATCTCCATTTGCATAGGGCTCGGTCTGTTTCCATCACATTCTTTCTCCTCTGTGCATTCTTTGTAACATTTGTCCCAAGAAGTTAACATTAAACCCTGCTCCATGGCAAAGTCCCCACACTAACAACAAGCAATTACGACTGTACATATCATTTCTGATGTGTCCAGATAAAGACCACAGAAGATAGGTTGGCCAGAAATGTTAAATAATTGAAAAGGATAATGACTTAATAGAGTAGTAAGCTTAGTTTACAATGCAGCCAATTTAAAGCCATAAAAACACCGTGTAAAAATTTTATCTTGTGGTTGACCATTCCATATCCTATCTATTATTCAAAAGTATCTCAACACTGTTTTTCTTCATTAATGTGGCTTTTGGCGTTTTCCTCAAAATCTTTGTGTTCCCGCGGTTTTCCAACAATTTGGAAACAAGTACAAAATTCCTCCGTGATATCATAAATTCACCTGACCAGGATAGCGAGCTCTTCAATGTCTAACTGAAATTAATTTTATAGACCAATCTGTAAGGCCAACAGAACTAAAGCTACTTGTAGCAACACATCTGTAAACAAAAGGAGAACCTCCTAATAACCCCTTTTCCTGTGACACCCTAATCCAGGGATTTGTCTATATTAGAAAATGTCATGGGGCATCAGGAAAGTTTTGCCTTGAGTGTTCAGCTAAGGTGTGCACGGCACGTCTGTGAAGGAGAAAAAAAGAGACACTTAGGATCAATTTCAAACATAAGCCCATTATCACTGGCAGGCTCTTGCTAAAATTCTAGCTGCAACCAAAATGTCCCTGTCAACAAGGTTACAGAGAACGGCCCCAGATATTCTCAGCGACACTTTCCCCACCCTTCAGCTGTCTGCCGAGTTAGTTACACCTTATCTGGCTGTACCGCCGTCCTCACACTGATTCAAATTCAGAACTCGAAATGAAAGACGAAATATCTCGAAGATCACTTAATATTGAAATACTGTTGCAGTAATAAGCGGTGCTCAGTTGGAGATGGGAACATGGTAGTCTCTTGGTAACCTTTTAATTTCTGGAAAAATGGTACAGAATACATTGAGTGGCACACACATGGAACCCTCATGGATCGATCTGCACTGTTTTGTTAAAGCACCACCCATCAGGAAGTGTTGTTTGCTCCCCTTGCAATTCCTGTTAAAGAAGACCAGCAGGTTCCAGTACGCACCATGCACAAAGATTTAAAAGCTATTGTGACTCAATAAAGAAAACAGATCATCTGTCATCCACATTCATCGCCCCGGTCAATGCATAGTCTTACAAGCTATCGGACGCAATTCTCAGCATACACACATCTATGTAACATGAGTTTAAAGAGTTAGGAGAGTTGTGTCAGTAAAAGTAACAGTCATGGGTAACACACAAATACGTGTTTGAAAGGTCATCTAGGCCTGTTTTGTGACAGACTTGACTCTTCATATCTGTAGGACAAGAAGCCCCATCAATGTCACTTAACCTACATCAACGTTTTCATGCACCTTACTTCTGCCGGCCATTCCTCAGCCCAGATTTGAGAACTGTTTAAATTTCCCTCTCTTTCCCACAATGACAGGACTGTTTCTTAGGCTGGCTAACTCATTTTGATAACATCAAAGCTACTGGACAGGGAAAACGAAAAAAGAGCCCTGCCACTATTCCCCAACCCCATCCCCTGCCTTCCCCTTGAGGACTTTTCTTCCTCTTTTCTCTTGCCTGCTGCTTCTGAATTTGGGCATGTTCCAAACACACTCCCCTATTTGGTCTTTGGGCAGCGTGAGAAACAAAGGAGAGTTTTTCTTCAAAACTAGACCAAGTCATTCAGCTGCTCTGAAACACTTCAAAACATCCGCATGTCTCTTGATCCTGACTTAAAGTATTAAGCAGTGGTGTTTTGAAAATAGTAGGAGGTCATGTGTGGACCTAACAGTTCCTCTCAACTCACATGCTGAGAATTTTTCCTTTTCCTTTCTTCTTCTTCTTCTTTTTTCTTTTTTGTTAATTTTTTTTGTAAAGAGAGACAGAGAGAAAAGGTGCTATTTTCAACATTGCCCCCTGGTTCAGGTTAGCAAAATCATGTGCTTTCTGTGTGTGCCTGTGTCTTATTGTACAGCCACTGGTCCTGCTACTACAACACAAACACAGCAAACGTGCCTCCCTAGTTTCAGCAGACCCATGTGGCGATTCACAACGTAACCGAAGCAAGCACAATAAA